GAGTTTGAATGCTTGGTAGTTTAGCTCGAGAAAGGACTTCAATGTCCAGCGCCCTATCTTGCAAGTTGAGCTTCAGAATCTTCCTAAGATAATTCAATAGAAGCAATTCAATTTCCTGGCACGGTGTTGGTATATTGTCCAGGTTTCACGAGCAAACAAGCAATGAGGTTAGCACAACAGCTCTGTAGATCTTCAATTTGGTAGGTCATCTAATACCTCTTCTCTCCCACACTTTCCTTTTACCTCTTCTCTCCCACACTTTCCTTTGGAACCTCCCAAATACTGAGCTAGCTCTGGCAATCTACGTGTTAATCTTAACATCCATGGGTACATCCTTGGAAAGTATACTGCCAAGGTAAGTGAACTTATCCACAGCATTCAAGATTGCTCCATTTGCTGTAACCAATGGTTCCACATATGGATAATGGCAAGGTGCTGGTGGATGGAGAACCTCTGTTTTCTTGGTGTTAATTGTCAGGGCAAAATTAGCACATGTGGCAGAGAATCAAACCACACTCTGTTGCATCTCAGCATCAGAGGCTGCATTGAGTGCATAATCATCCGCAAACAAAAAGTCACACAGCCACACTCCCTCCACTTTAGTCTTGGCTTGTACCCTTTTCAAGTTAAATAATTTAGCATCAGTGCAGTAGCTGACTGTGATGCCATTTTCATCCTTGTTGAAGGCATCTGACAACATCAGTGAAAAGATGATGTCCTCTCTATTACCTTCTTTTGGTAATATTGTCTATAATCTTTCTAATCATCTGGCATCCTCCCTGCTTTCAAATACCTTGAAAACTGACTGCTGCAATGCCTTCAAAATTGGATTATGTCTAGCACCAATTTTTTCTACTTTGTTGGTCTGGTCTAACTGCTCTTCTTATTTTTATTTAAAGTGTCATCTACCTTTTTTAAAAAAGTACACTGGGGACTAGGGTACCAGAAATCCTGATTCAACAATTCAACAAAGATTTATTAAGCACCTACTATGTGCAAGGCACTGAACAAGGTTCTAAGGATACAGATGTAAATATGAAATCGTTCCTGTCTTCAAGGAATTTACAGTTCACTGGAGACAGGGGGTACAATACAATATATACAGAGACAAGTAAATATAAGACATTTTCAGGAGGGAGAGAAAGCTTACTTAAACTAGAACAAATCAAGAAAGGCTTTGTATGAGAGACTGTACTTTATCTGGGCGCTGAAAGAAGCTCACAGAGAGCATATTCCACAGAGACATGGAGATGGGACGCCAAATTTCAGGAATAGCTATTAGGCAAGGTTAGATGGAACGTGGTGTTTTCAAAGCTATAGTGTAGAAAAGTAGGTCAGAAATAGACTGGGAAGAATTCTAGTTGCTAGGCTAAGGAATTTACATTTATTCTAGATGACAATGAAAATTCTGAAGCAGAGGTGTTGCAAAGTAAGGTAAATGTTCTTGGGGTGACCTGGCTAAATCAGGCCTCACGCCAAGCTTTCTACAGGCTTATTTTGTCTTCCATCTTTATATTCTAAATTTATGTTACTAGTGGCAGCCATGTCCTTGGAAAATTAAAAAAAAAAAATCTGTCATTCAGTGGCCAATCTGACTAGTTATTAGGTGTTCACTAGGGCCTTCCTCAAAGCCCAGAACTTGTTTAGTATGGGTATAGCTTTCAATAACCCAAATATAAAATATGACTAAATCTTAAAAGAAAGGAAACAACTAGTTACAGATATGGGAATCATTTCATATAGGAGTAGTCAGACCACACACGTAAGGTCAAAGGTAAAAATGTGAAGAGTCTAAAGAAGAGAAAACAACACTGCAGGCAGTTTCACCAATTCAAACTCTGAATGTTCAAATAAGCTATTAATGGTGAAAAATTGGAAATGAATAAAGGAAAAGATACTGGCGTGGATGTTTCCTGTTTCCTATAGCACTCTGTAAAGTAATTGATGGGATACAATACACAAGAGCCCAGGAGTCACCTTAGTCACTAAAGAGCTTAATTTGTCAACCAGAGAGACATGGCTGCTACTATTAACACACATTTAGAATATAAACTTCTTTTAAATGTTATACAGAAAGATAATATAAGATTATAAGTGCTATCTTCTCATAAGACACTGGACAACGATGAAAAAGAAAATAAAGCTTGGGAGGAGGCCCAATTTAGACAGGTCACCCAAGGACATTTATCTGATTTTTGCACTTCTCTGCTCTATAAAAATAATGGAGTCATATTATGAGACTTTCTCTCTCTATAAATACTCACCTGAACCAAATCCTCCCAAATATATTATGATTAAATGAGGAAAGTCAACTCTTTGACAGCTTTAATAATGGTAAATATTAATGAAGGGCAGAAGTATGAATGAGACCTTCAAAAAGACATTGTTATAACTAAAAGGATCCATTTTAAAATATAATCTATACTAAAAATATGTAGATGATGGTAGATGGTAGAAAGAAATGGAATACAAATTATTTCTTTAATTTTAAACCACCTTCCACTAAAAATGACTCTTAGTTGCCTAGTAAGTAACATGAAAAGCTTAACTTTTTAGTTAGTTTTAAAATTTGAATAGAAATATAGTGCCTTTGCCTGGTGAGACAAAGACTCTTTCCACCATGCACTGATAAGCTCATCTATAATAAGCTGCAATGAGTAATCTTGCAAATATGCATGTTTCAATAAATTAAAGCAATGACTGCTATTTCCAGCTAGACAGAATTCTCTCTCCACATGTTTCCAGGCACTTGGAAACTTGGGCTCTCAATGTTACATACCTTAAGAAAACTTGATTTATAAAAATATGAATTATCAAAACAGATAAAGTGGCATATGTGCTTTTCTATGACTTACACAACAATTCTCTTGTGTTTTAATGGTTCCTTTAGATATATCATTTTCTGATATAATTACAGTGATCTGATCATTTAAAATTCATTTTACTAAAAATTCAAGTACATATCTACTACACAAAGCAGGCTACGCCCCATAACTAGGCTAGCTGATCCAAAAGGCAAAACTTTATCCTCTTTAATTAAGTGTTAGCACATTATCTAAGAACTTACTCTACAGGTAACTCTTAAAGCTCATGAGGGTCCACTAAAGAGAAGTGATCTCTCCATTGTTACAGAGCCACTTTAAGCTATTAGTCCAGCCTGAGTTCATAATGGTCATTCAAATGCGTTTAACTGACGGACCAGAACTTGCAGCTACCACAAAAGCATTTCCAGAGGGCTCTGGAGTCCACTGGACTTCTCCAGGTGACAGAGATAGGTCATCAATAGATATTATCTTTTTTAGGTGCTTGATATTTTATTCTTACAAATAAGTCTACTAAATCAGGTAGAAAGAATATTTATAAAGAAAACTTCTCCTCTTTAGTGCTATCAGATTCATAAATTTATTTAATTTCAGAGCTAAAAGGGCATTTAACTAAAAGAGATTATTTAATTCAGTACCTTCATATACCTCTACAAGAAACAGATCCACAAGGTATAAGTGCCTATCCCAAGGTCAAAGGCAAGGCAATGACTAAAGGCCACATCTCCTGACTCCCCGACCAGTATTCTTCCAGGACATATGCTGTCTGCCTCACTTCTGCCACACAATTTTTATGAAATTTCAGTGTCAGAAGAACATAGCATAACCTTTGTATAAAACCTGTAAACACATACCATGAGGAATCTAAGCTACTTTGACAGTCAATCCTCAGAGATAGTTTTTCTTCCAAGTGAATTCTCATTTGGTCATTTTAATATGATTTTGAATAGTTATAATTGTCTTCTATGTCAAGAAAGCTATCATTATTCCTCGGCCAAATAACATTAAGGGAGCTGATGGAATTTACTGACTGTGGAGATGACACTGTCGGACAGCTAGGAGTGCAAAGGGTAGAGTGCTGGGCCTGGAGTCAGAAAGACCCAAGTTCAAACTCAGCCTCAGAAACCCCCTAGTTGTATGACCTTGGATAAGTCACTTAACCTCTGCTTGCCTTAGTTTCCTCACCTGTAAAATGGGATATTTGTAAAGGGCTTAGCATAGCACCCTGCACGTAGTAGTTGCTATGTAAACGATAGTTGTTGTTGTTGTTATAGCTAAACTTAAGTAAAATCACTTTGCCAGCTGTGAGAAAGATGGTCTAGAATATGTTGAAGCTTCAGGTAGGCAGACCAATTAAACAGCTGTTGTAAATGTCCAGATAAGAGGTGATGAAGATAGTGGTGGTGTGATTGGAGAGAAAGGGATAATATAAATGTTGCAAATAAATAAACAACATAATTTGGCAACTGACCAGATATATGGGGTAAATGAGACTTAGGAGTTAAATATGACACCAAACTTGTATATCCTAGCTGAGTAGGAGGATAGTGGTACCCATGATAGTAATAGGGAAGGTCAGAAAAGGCAAGGTTTAGAGAGAAAGATACTGACTTCTGTTTTAGATATGCTAAGTTTGAGAAATTCAGTTCAAAAACATCCAACAGGCAGTTGGTGATGTGGGACAGAGAGATCTACAAATCACAGACCTAGAACAGGTCTTTTGACTCCAAGACAAATCAATCTTTACATCTTACATAAGAAAGGACTTATACTGTACTTAATGCTGTCAAAAATCAGAATGCGCTGCCTCATTAAGTAAAGAAATCCTCATCCCTGGAGAAGTCCCTGAGAAGTTGGATTACCATCTGTCAAGAGGGTTGTGGAAGTGATTTGTTTATCCTAGGGCCTAGAAGTCCTCTAAAATTCCTTCTGACTAAGATTCTGAGATCTCTCACTATAAAACTATATGATGTGTACTACTCAAAAAATTATTGCTTCTGCTACCTCCAACAAAACCATTGCATACCTAGCTTGCTGGCTTTAAAAAGTAAATATAAAATATATGTTAAGAGTTTTATGTTCTTTGGAAGAAAAAAAAATAGTAAAAACACATATTGCAAAAGAAAAAAACTGTTACAAGACCATGAAAGGAATTACATAGAAATGATTATACAGTACCTTAGAAATGTGACTTGAACTACTCATGGAATGCCTCAAAGTCTTCTCATTCTGCAAGAAAAAAAGGCAGATATTAGGGGGACCTTATTGTGGTAATACAAGAAACAAGAATAGGGGGGCAGAGCGAAGATGACGGAGTGAAAGCAGTGACTTGCTTGAGCTCTCCCCCAAACCCCTCCAAATACCTGTAAAAAAAAAATGGCTCTAAACAAATTCTAAAGCAGCAGAACCCACAAAAAGACAGAGTGAAACAAATTTCCAGCCCGAGACAACCTGGATGGTTGATTGCAAAAGTATATCGCGCCGGGTGGGGAGAGAAGCGCAGGGCAGGCCTCAGAGGACTGAACTGCGGGCAGCTGTGGCGGTTTCCAGACTTCTCAACCCACGAACGCCAAAGACAACTTAGAAGGTCAGTAGGAAAGGTCTGTGACCACGCTGAGAGGGAAGTTAGATCCCAGTCGCAAGTCCTGAGTGCCCTGGGACAGTGGCTGCTTCCTAAGCTTCGGTCCCACAAACTGAGAGGGAATAGAGGGGCTGATCAGAGCTGGATTGCAGGGATCTCTCTGCTGGTGCAAGATTCTCTTGCTTTGCCCGTGTTTGGATCTGGGTCATAGTTCTAGGTGGTAGTACTGGAGCGAGGAGGAATGCTGGCGTGGTGGAGCTTGCAGGGGTGGTAGAGAGGAAATCCTCCTCACAGTTCCAAGACAGAAAAGAGTGCGTGGGGTCATTCATAGGCCAGGAAAGGAGTAAACACCTCACCCTTTAACATAGCACCATAAAAGAACTGAAAATTTACAAGTCCCTAGAAGTATCTCTGAAAACAGCTGTACAAACCCCTGAAGCTTGGGACAGTACATTCTCCACACTGGAAGCAGACTCTTACCTTAACAAAGAGTTTAAAACTCAAGTAATTGGTTGGGATCATGAGCAAGCAGTGCAAAAAGAGTCAGACTATATTATCTTACTTTGGTGACAAAGAAGATCAAAACATACAACCAGAAGAAGACAACAAAGTCAAAGCTCCTACATCCAAAACTTCCAAGAAAAATATGAATCAGTCCCAGGTCTTGTTAGAACTCAAAAGAGATTTTGAAAAGCAAGAAAAACAGAGGAAAAACTGGGAAGAGAAATGAGAGGAATGCAAGAAAATCATGAAAAACAAATCAACAGCTTGCTAAAGGAGACCCAAAAAAATACTGAAGAAAATAACACCTTCAAAAATAGCCTAACCCAAATGGCAAAAGAGGTCCAAAAAGCCAATGAGGAGAAAAATGCCTTAAAAAGCAAAACTGGCCAAATGGACAAGAAAGTCCAAAAGATTACTGAAGAAAATACTTCCTTAAAAATTAGAATAGAGCAATGGGAAGCTAGTGACTTTATGAGAAATCAAGACACTACAAAACAATACTAAAAGAATGAAAAATTAGAAAACAATGTGAAATATCTCATTGGAAAAACAAATGACCTGGAAAACAGATCCAGGAGAGAGAATTTAAAAATTATTGGACTATCTGAAAGCCATGATCAAAAAAAGAGCCTAGACATCATCTTTCAAGAAATTATCCAGGAAAACTGCCCTGATATTTTAGAACCAGAGGGCAAAATAGAAATTGAAAGAATTCACTGATCTCCTCCTGAAAGAGATCCCCAAAGGAAAACTAGGAATGTTGGAGCCAAATTCCAGAATTCCCAGGTCAAGGAGAAGATATTGCAAGCAGCCAGAAGGAAACAATTCAAGTATTGTGGAAACACAATCAGGATAACACAAGATTTAGCAGCTTCTACATTAAGGGACTACAGGGCATGGAATATAATATTCCAGAGGGCAAAGGAGATAGGATTACAACCAAGAATCACCTATCCAGCAAAACTGAGTATAATCCTTCAGGTGAAAAAAATGGTTATTCAGTGAAATAGAGGACTTTTAAGCATTCTTGATGAAAAGACCAGAACTGAATGGAAAATTTGACTTTCAGATGCAAGACTCAAGTGGAACATGAAGAGGTAAACAGGAAAGAGAAATCATAAGAGACTTATTAAGGTTGAACTGTTTACATTCCTGCATGGAAAGATGATATTTATAACTCACGAGACCTTTGTCAGTATCAAGGTAGTTGGAAGGAAAAAATTACATGTATGTATATATACATATAGATAGATAGATAGAGGGCACAGGGTGAGTTGAAGATGAAAGGGTCATTTCTGTAGAATAAAATTAAGGGGTGAGAGAGGATTATACTAGAAGGAGAGAGGGAGATGTAGAATAGGGGAAGTTATCCCACAAAAAAAAAAAAACAGAAAAGAAAAGGCTCTTACAGTGGAGGGGAAACAGGGGAAGGTGAGAGGGAATGAGTAAATCTTATTCTCATAGGATTTGGCTTAAGGAGGGAATAACATACACACTCAATTGAGTATGGAAAACTGTCTTACCCTACAGGAAAATAGAGAGGGGAAGGGGACAAGAGAGCAGGGTGATGATAGACAGGAGGGCAGATTGGGAAAGGGGGTAATTAGAAACAAATCCTTCTGAGGAGGGACAGGGTCAAAAGAAAGAATAGAATAAATGGGGGGGGCAGGATAGGATTAAGGGAAATAGAGTTAGTTTTCACAACATGTCTACCATGGAAGTGTTTTGCATAACTGCACATGTATAGCTTGCCTTTTCAATGAGGGTGGGTGGGGAGGGAGGAAGGGAGAAAATATGGAACCCAAAGTTTTAAAAACAATGTTTAACAAAAATGTTTTCACATGCAACTGGGAAGTAAGAAATATAGGAAATGGGGTACAGAAATCTATCCTGCCCCACAGGAAAATAGAAAGGGAAGGGGATAAGAGAAGGTGGGGAGAGATAGAAGTGAGTGCAGACTAGGGGGAGGGGTATTCAGAATGCATGCTATCTTGGGATGGGGAGAGGGGCGAGATGGGGTGAAAATCTGGAGCTCAAAATCTTGTGGAAGTAAATGTTGAAAACTAAAAATAAATAAATTTATTAAAAAATTTAAAAAGAAACAAGCATAGACTTATAAAATATGTTTTAAAAGTTATTTATGCAACCATTTATTACCTCACTCTCACAGCCTACCTCCAAATGAACAATTAAAAAAAAAACCTTCATAATAAACATTTATAGTCCTGCAAAACAAATTATCACATTAACCATGTCCAAAACTATATACACCTCATTCTGCACTTTAAATCCATCATCTCTCTGACCGGAGGTGGATAGTATGTTTTACTTTTAGTCCTCTGGGCTTCTGATTTATCATTGCATTGATCAGAATTCTAAAGTCTTCCAAAGTTCATTGAATCATTTTGAGAAAAATGTACCAAAATATTTTTGTATTCATTCCACAATCATTCACTGATTACCTACCTGCTATGTTGAAAAGTACAGAGCTAGCATAGTTTGGGGGATACAAAGATTTAACTCAAAGGCTAAGAAGCTTCTATTGTGCCCATGGCACTGTCTTAAGGGCCAAGTAGAGAGAAAAATGACATGGTCAAGACCAAGGGTGGGGAATCTGCGGCCTCAAGGTCACATGTGGCCCTCTAGATCCTCAAGTGTGCCCTTTTGATTGAATCCAAACTTCACAGAACAAACCCCCTTAATAAACGGATTTGTTCTGTAAAACTGGGACTCAGTCAAAAGGCTGTACCCAAGGACCTAGAAGACCACATGTGGCCTTGAGGCCACAGGTTCCCCATTTCTGGTCGATATCATCACTAAGCTTACAATTCAGTGAGGAAATACAACATATATAAAAATACTCAGAATGCATTTAAATACTTAGAGGTATAAAAAAGTATTGTATGAAATCAGTTAAAGTTTATTTCCAATATGTGAACTGAAGGTGAATCAGAAAATGCTTCCAAGGATTCAGAGTTGGAAAGATTTTACAGAGGTCTAGTCTAATCTTTCAGCCCTACCATTTTACAGATGAGGAAACTGAAAGTCAGAGAGAATGAGTGAAAATATAAAAGTTTTGAAGCACAGAGCAAGAGAGATGAGGTAACCCACAACACATAGCTTTAATTTTCCCCAGTAAGCAGAAGGGTGTTGAGGGAGGACTAGCACCTCTGATGTGAGGGCTGCTCATCTACCTTGGGTGTCTACCTTCACCCAACTCTCACCTGTGGTTCCAAGAAGCTGTAGCATATGCAGTGGTCATACCCTGGTAAACAAACCAGACCGAGGATATTCAAAAGTCTTCAAACCTGTTGATGAGCTGCTAGGTTTATGGATATCTATCTCAAGCACGTGAAGACTTTCCCTGGAGAAATAGGTGGATGAGAACAATTTGTTCCAGTGGCCATGAAGCTGGCTGAAGTAGGCACTCTGGAGTGCTTAGAGCTTGGTCAGAAATCAAAGATGCCAAGGTTATCCATAGGATTCTGGGTCATCGCCAGTCATCTTGACTTTTGTCCTGCCACTAGACTTCAATGATTCAGGAAGAGATCAAGCGTGAGGCTGACAACTTTGTGCAACTCTGTCTCACTTATATCCAATTCATGCACAGGTCAGAATGTCACTCTGTGATGTCATTGGTCCTCTTCAAAAACAAAGGACAAACAACAACAAATAGGAGGACATCTACTTCAAAGCAGGGGATGGCATCGCAGGCTTAAGGGGACCGGACTTCTCAAACAATCCTTTGAGGATCAAGGAAAAGAAACGGCTCACTGGACACCAGTGAGGTACTGAGACTAGATAAAATTAATTTTAGAAAATGCAGCAATGGCCTTCAGAAACATAGAAGTGGAGCAGCAGCCACAGCATGGCATCTGGCCCAGGGTGGAAGGGGGGTATGAGGGGTGACTGAGGACTGACAAGGTATAAATAGTAACTCTAGGACAATGGAACAAGGAATTCAAAGGTAGACTACAATATATGGTTGAATTGATTAACACTGCACGAGGGAAGAAAAGTAAGGCTGGAGCAAGAGTGACAGATTCAAAGAAGAAGGGGCAGATGAATTAGAAGACAGAAACAATAAAGAAAAGGTTTAAGAGAAGTAAGGGAGAGGAAGAGATAGAAAGGAGAGGCGGTAGAA